GTTGGAAATCGAGATTGTCAGTTTCATTGTTGGGGATACTGGTTGGGAAAAGGGTACAAGGGAGGGAAAGACTCTGCTATATTGGTGTTGCTCTGTTTCTGATGATATGGATCTGGTTACCCAGACATGTTCACATGGGAAGATTTATGTGGATACTTAAGATTGTAAACTAGTCTGTGTGTATATTGTACTTCAAAATACAAGTAAAATCACACTGACAAAAGAAAATTCAGGGATCGGGATAGAAGTTTTGTACCACACAAGTACTGTGCCTTCACTATTAGGCTGTTTTGAAAAGAATTCACTTCATGTGTCATTACTTTATTATACATTCCTACCATTTCCTGGTTTACTCTCTTTGGATTTTGGCTTTGTGGCAGAGACCCAGTGTGCTTTAAAACTAAGACCCCAAAATATGTCAATAAGAATTCAGGCAAAACATCCTGGCTGTTGGGTCTCAGTGGCTTGAGTAACAGCCTATGAACCAAAAGGTAACTGTTTTAATTCCTAGTCAGGGCACATGCTTGGGTTGTGGGCCAGTTTCTCAGTTGGGGGTGTACAAGAGGCAACCATTCAATGTTTCTTCCCCTCTCTTCCTCTCTCTATTCTCCCCTATCTAAAAGTAAATAGATAAAATCCTCTAAAAAAAGAATTCAAGCAAAACAAAGTCAAAATATAGTTTTCCCAAATACTAATCTATTTAAGAAGTTATCTTTTAGCCAATGGAAGGTATAATTGACCCCAAAATAAGAAAGAACCTTCTCAATGAAACCAAATCTACACCAGTTCTTTAAGCAAATGAATAGGTCACATATGAGATGTACTGAAAAGCCACCCATTCCTTTTCATTTAAAACTCAGTGCAGAATTGGGTAAAAGTGAGCTCTATTATTCCCTAGACTTCCTTTTTTCCTTTTACATTGAAATTTAAAAGTTCTATTTATTTATTTATTGCATTTTCAAATCTAAATTTAATCAGTAAAAACAGACAGTATATTTAAGCCATTTATGTCTATCTATCTACCTAATCTATTTATGTACCAACAATCTATCATCCCTCTATTCATCTGCTCAGTTAGCTAGCTTTTTATATATCCATCTATCCATCTACTTGACAGTTACTTGTAAAACAGATTGGTTCATCCTCATCACTTGGAAATAGCAATAGACAATAGAGCCATTGAATCAGCTTTGGCTGATTTACATAAACTGCATAATTTGGGGCACCCCATCCCAGGCTATGTTATCAGAATCTCCAAGGAAAACCCCAAGAAGCTTGTTTTTTGGCATATGTTTTCAGTAAGTTCAGGAAGATTGATACTCCTGCTAATAAGACTAGAGGGAGGGAGGGGATACAGAGGATACAAGTTGTGAAAAAATATTTTCTTCTATCTCCTCCTTTTTCTCCCATATTCAAAACTGCATGGGAAGTTTCTCCATAAGATTTATTACAGCTTGTTCTCTTCCTCCCTGAGCAGGAGAGAACAGGACAGAGTACAGTCAGTCCTCTCATCTTGTGAATAGGCTGCATTTCAAAGAAACTCTCATTAGTCATTTATTTGGACTCTATGCATTTTAATGGAGATATTTCTTCTTAATTAGTAACTTTTCTAATCAACACTTAAAATTTACATTAACTTAGATGAGCTTGAACTACAATATTGAAATCTTTATTTAACTAGCAAGGAACAATGTGATACAGCTTATAGAAGGAAACATTCAGAAATCTGATCTTCACAGGTTTGGAGGCAGCATCCCTGCAACATTCGGGCTCTGACAGTGGAGAGAGTTTGGAACCTCAACACTGTCAGCCTGGACACCATGACCCAACTATGTTTGTGGTAGTGTTTTTAGAGAGAATCTAGTGTCTGAAGAAGATTATTTATATATACCATATTTTTGAGACTATAAGATGCATTCCCAAGTTTGGGAAGAATAATGGTTGTTAATTCTGCTACTGAGTTCTGTTTATATTTACACTGATGAAATAATATGTTATTTATGTTATTAAATATTTTGCCAGATTTTTTGCTTCAAAATTTGTTTTCTATTCTTCTCTAAAACCTAAGTGGGTCTTATGATCCAAAAAATACGGTAATTGGGTATGTTGTCATATAGTGGTTAAGAATGACATTTTGGAGTTAGAGCTAGATTTAGAGCCTAGTTCAAAGCTTGAGTTTCCTCACTTTATAACAAGTATATTAACAATTCTACAGAACTGTCTGACATCTAATAAATGATCAGTACAAATGTTAACAATATATAAAATAAGAAATTAATTCACATACACTATTGAATTTTATATTATTCATCGAACATATGCTAATAAAGCCAGAAACTTCATTGACTTCAGTAAACTGTGAGATATATGTATGTTTTGAAGCCATCTAACAAAATGTATAAGAAATTAAAGAGCTCCCAGTAGACAAAAGTGGAAAAATTTGAGCAAGAAAATACAGTATTACAAACTTACAACTGAAAAAGTATGATGAATATCCATCTGATACAAATAAATTTTATGTAAATATGTAAATAAATAAATGCAGAATTGAAAAAAATTCCAAGCAAAAAAATTCTAAATTTCTGCAGATACTCCATCTTTCAGAGGTAAACCTACTTCTTAAAAGAAAGCTCTAGACTGTGATTGCCTTCCAAATGTATAATATGCAAAGGAAAAGCAAAACATGGAGTAACTTTGTAGTAGAGAAACCTGAAAACATACTGCTTAAAGCAGGTGACCAAGGTCAACATCAGAAGTGACAAGCCATAGAGTTAGTGTATATCCTCAATGAGATGCCATGAGAGTGGTACTTTAACACTATGGTGTTTTTCCCCAAAGCACATGAGCCCAGGATAATCATGAGAAAAATATTACATAAATTCTAATTGGGAGACAGTTTACAAAATAGGTAGCTACGTTTTTTAAATATTTTCTTAGTTTTTAGAGATAGGGGAATGGAGGGAGAAAAAGAGGGAGAGACACACCCATGGAAAGAAAAACATTGATTAAATATGCCCTGACTTGTAACTGGACCCACCACCTAAGCATGTGCCCTGGTTGGAAATTGAGCCAGTGACATTTTGCTTTGCAGATGATACAACCAAATGGGCCACATTGGTCACAACCAAAATAGACAACTCTTCAAAAATATCAAGGTTATCAAAAACAAGGAAAGTATTAAAAACTCTTACATCTAAGAGGAACCTAAGAAGACAAGATGATTAAATGTAATATAGTGTCCTAAATGAAATCCTGAAACAGAAAAAACGATATTATGTAATGAAGGAAATCTAAATAATGTTTGGACTGTAGTTAATAGTGATGTATCGATGTTTGTTTATTAATTGTGGCAAATGTAGCAAATTAATGTAAAAAATATTGATAATAGGGGAGACTCGGTGTGGGGCACCCAGAAACCTTCTGTATTTTCATGGGAATAATTCCAGAAAATCTAAAACTGTTCTAGATGAAAACTTTATTAAAAACAAAAAAGCACAGCTGCTGTACTGGAACCAGAGAGGGAGTCCAGTTGTCCATCACTTCTATTGTCATACCTCTAGTCTCTTGGCAGCCTCTGGAGCAACCTTACAGAGCCCAGGAATTCCTTGAAGTATAATCCATAAACCTCTGGACTTAACTGGGAATAAAACTGGATGATGAAAATCAAAGTCTAACTGAGGTCTAGTAAATGGAAATTTTATTCATCTCCCTTTTCCTTCAAGGCCTGTGTAATCTGTTAAAATAATAAAGTTTATTTAGTTATAATATTTTCCTTCAAGGGTTAAATTTCATGATGACTAATATACTGTCCTTAGAACTCCAAAGCTCTTGGTACTTTTCTCTCAACTTATCTAAAGTGTTAAGTAAAGGTGATTGGTTTATAATTACACAGGATATGGAAAGGAGAAGATATGACATTGAGGATGAATTGCTAGTACTGTAAAATTATACCTCTTGTCTGAATTTACTTGAATGTTCTTCATTGTGAAATAATACAATGCTAATAAAAATTAAATATGATTTAGCCCTTGCTGGTGTGGCTCAGTGGTTTGAGTGCTGGTCTGTGAACCAAAAGGTTGCTGGTTGGATTCCTAGTAAGGGTACATGGCTTGACTGATGGTTGGGTCCCCAGTGAGAGGCGTGTGAGAAGCAACCACTCATTGACATCTCTCTTCCTCTCTTTCTTCCTCCTTCTCCCTCTCTCTAAAAGTAAATATATAAAATCTGGTTTAACCCATGTCATCATATGGGCTGACATTAGCACTAAGTGTAAGTGCCTGATGGAAAGTGCAATAATAAATCCCAAAGTTTTAAAGAAGTTATTTAAAGTACACAATGAAAAACTGTTGGCAAGAAACAATTAATTGGAAACAGTAGATCTTAATTAATAGCACTTTAATTTTCCCAACTTGTAAAGTATTTGTAAGATTAAAAAATTTTCTATAGGTGAAAATATAGCATCAGTAATTAAAGACTATATAAGGTGTTGGTAAAGTCATTTTGCTGTTCTTTCCAAGGCACTACAAGCTAAAATTTTAAAATCACCAGACAATTGGAATGATGCCCTAGAATTAGAATTCTGACTTGGTCACCTGATTCCCACTACTGTTAGGTAAATTTTCTATCTCACTCAGGAGCATCTTTCAGAATGAATTTCAGAGTGTTTAATAGAACAGAGGACAAGGAGATATGGCAATGTATTGGCCTCCTTCTAAGTAGATGTTGGCATAAGAGGTTGAGTGCTTTGCGCAACTGTTTGACCTGATAGAAGAGTTATGGAGAAGGAATCTTACAGTTTTAAGTGGCTTCTAAGCAATTGGAAGTTCACAATCCTTATATAATAACTCGGGACAATCCAATGACTTAGTACAATACTTTCATGGAAATATAGAATAGCAAAAGGCTTAGAATATGTACATTGCTCATTAAAAAACAAAACCAATGGGATGTGCACACATGCATACATGTATTATATATTTTCATATACACATGTGTACATGTTTACACAGGTGAATACAGTTTAATTATGGTTGTCACAAAGCACATATAAAATAAAGCCAGATAACTTTACAATGTGGAAGAGACACAAACCAATTACTTAATTTTACAGATAAGAAAACAAACATCTTGTTTATTCAGTTTTCTAAAGTTTAAGTGAGTCACTAAAGAAAAATCCAAAATATTGTTCTCTTGGGAGACTTTTTGGCTCTTTTACTTTCATCAATAATGACAAGAGTCACAATCGGTACTTACTAGATAGGTACTCTAAACCAGTCCTAGCACTTGCTTTCAATGTCATGATGGAAAAAAAATTTAAGCCACACTTTGGCTTCTTAGAAGAACAATTCCTTGATCTCCTTAGTGAGGCTCCATGAATGAGACAGTAATCATCATTGCCAGCTACTTATAATCACTGTCCTTAGATCACTGTCTATGGTTAAAGAAAAAGAAATGAGGATTATTATAAGTGGTTTTGTTTAAAAATTGCACCAGTGACTTCTGAAAAAGAAATAGTGACAAATTCATCATTTTAGAAAAACAGTTTGGTGGCAGTTCACTGAATGATTTCAAGGAATATTAGGGACCCTTGCAGTGGGAGTGCTACTGTGTGGAGTGGCCCATGAGCTGAGGAGAGAGTGAACGAGGGTGTTGTCATTTGTAATGGATTTTAAAAATGGACAAGAGGCAACAACCTGTTAAAAGAAAATCTAAATTCTATTTTTTCTCCACTTTATCTCCAGCACCTATAAAACTACCTGGGATACAGCTAAAACTCTCTTAAATGTTTTGAATAAAGTGCAGTTTCAGAAACATATGTCACTAAGAAAAACTAAGGAAAGTGGAAATCATTTCATATTGTTAGTGAAGGCAGTTAGTGCAGCTAATCTATTACACAGATAAAAGGCTAGTTCAGAGATATTTAATAATTTTCAAAAACAGACCATAGCATCACAGTGTGTACATATTAGTTTATTATTAAGAAAGATAATAATTCAAATGGATACCTGATTGGCTTTACCTCCTTGTTCACAAGAGTGTTCTAGAAAGTTGAAACTGATTCACAATACCCCGATCTATTCAAGGTTAACTACTACTAAACATGTGTCTAAGAAGCATAAACACAAATTTCATTCCCTGAAGTAATTTAGAATGCAAATGATAGATAATAACTCTCAACTATCTCCAGAATCACAAACATATCACTCCTTGGAAGTTTGCACTTGGCATTGGATCAGTCCTCCACTGGCATTGGGAAAGATGAGTTACAAGCTTGAGGAGCTATTACTGGTGCAGAGGCCTATAGCACAGATTCACCCTGGATAAAAATATTGTAACCCAAGTTATTGTAGCCATCTCAGTTGTGGCTCAGGGAGTGGTCATGTGTCAGAACTTATCTCCAGAACAAGTAAGGGCCCAGGGAACTGGAAGCAAGAACAAATAAACTGAAGCCCCTAAATGGAGACCAGTGAACAACACTGGGCAATTCTCAGCAGTTCATAACAGTCAGGTTGGATGTGGGAGGTGCTGTCCCCAGGAAACAGGTTCCAGTCCCCAGTCAGGCTCTCAGGGTCAAGCTCCTGTTGTAAGAGAGAAGAGTACAAAGGAGACTCAGGTAAACCTTTCACCTTTGGAAATTTAGAGATTAGAAATTTGGATAATCAGATTAGGCATAAAAAGTTCCAAAGTCTGAACCAAGTGACTTGGGACATGAACCATGTTATCACAATAGAGAGTTTGCAAGAACATGAGCTATGACTCAGGGAACAACTTGAAACCCAGAGACAGCAGTGGGACAGAGTGTCCAGAATCAAATACTCAGCAAAGGGAAATTGGGGCAGAGCTAGGAAATACAGTGTCAGTGTACAAATTTCCTGGGCCATGGTAACAGGGAGAAAAACTTCATTTTCAGCCAAAATACATGGAAATTTGGTAGCCTAAATATTTTCTTGCCAGTAGTAGTCTAGGAAAAGGCATGAACAGTTTACAAAAAAGGTAATGATTGGCCTTAACTTTACAGAATGAAGATTTTCAGAGTCAGAAGCAAAACTGGGAACTAAACAATGACACTGAAAAATCAAAGTTTTAAAAGTATATCTGCTTCTTTAAAAACCTGTTTGATTGCCCAAGTCAAGTCATAACTGCCCCTGTGTCAACGAATTTCAGGTTGGTTCTTTCAGAATTGCAGCTGAGGTTCTCTAGTAGTTGGTGCGGAACTGCAGTGTACTTCCAGACATTTCCTTCCCATAAATGGCATCAAATTTCTCATTTTGGGCCACTGTGAAGTGATTCTTCCAGTCACCTGCAATTCCTAAAAATAAGAAGTACAAAAACATATGAAGGAGTAAAATATTTCCATTATGATAGGAAAGCTAGCATAGAGCAAAAAAAAGTTGCAGAACTAAAGATTTTCCTTTGTATTTGAATATTTTAAAATGTCATTTCTGTTTTACTGGTAATTCCTCTCATTTAAAAAGTGGCTTATAACTATAGAGTCTGACATTTAGAGACATAGTCTGAAAGCGGTTAATTTCCTTGTCTAAATTTATGGACTCTACAATTTGTAGTTTCCTGAAAGAGATTCTTTAGTGTTTCTCGTTATCCTGGGTCTTAGTGTTACAACTATACACTGGTCATGACATATTTTATATCATGAGTTACTTTGCAAATTGTCTAAAGATGGTTATCTGCACAATGAATCCATAAAGTTGTAAGCTGGTAAGTATCAGTTCCCAGAATGCATAAATGAGGATGGAATAATACTGGTAGGATACTTGTGATTTTTGAGTTCACCAGGCTTACATTTTATTTGTGTTTTAGATGTGAAGAATAACATCAAATGTAATATTCATGAATGATCTGTACAAAAGTAAACTGGGTGATATGAACTTATTTAATATCTTAAACATGAATGCTTATAAACATTTATTTAAAAATAAATAAATACTAATAAACTGCCAATGCACTTGGAGGAAAACATTTACTTGGTGATATTATGAAATAATCAATATTAAATAGGTCTTACTCAATTGTAATTTATATTAATGAGTGTTGACTTGCTGAGAATTTCAAGTCGTTTTAATAAAAAGCATCCCCTTAGGTAGTTTTTCTGGTATTATAATTTGTTCAATGTTTACTAGATGACAAGAGGTCTTAGAAATGTATATGAGCGTAGGGTAAATACATTCAGGGTAGTACAACTCCAAAGGCATTAGAAACAGAGAGCACAGACTTAAACAATAGTCATGTGTAAATTATTCCAATGTCTTCCATTCAGAGTATAAATTACATAGCACATGCAAACACATTTGCTTCATAAGAATAAGAAGACTGTACATTTTCTGATACATTGAATGATGTCACAGCCCAGGTATTTCTGTTTTGTTGCAATTTGGGGCATGGGTACAGGGGATAGGGACATCACCTATCCAGTCCCTACCACCTTTACTATTGTGTAACTAAATTATAACATTGATTATGCAATATAGTGTCATGGAAGACTTGAGTGTGCCTGGCCCTTTGGCCATTTCACTTGGAGCCCCTCTCAGCACCCATTTGCATGCATGCCTTCTGCATTTGCATTAGGAGCCTCCTGAGGCAGATGCATGTGTCATTCAAACTTGCACATTCTACAGAATATGTGCTACATATAGGTGTTGATGAAGGGCTTCCAATGTGTAAATTAATGAATGAGTGTATAGGCCTTAAATATTTATTGAATGAATAAATGAGTACATGAACAGAGGAACCATGAACAGTTTAATAAGTCTTGTTACTTTTTGGTATTATTTATAATCAGAAACATATTCCAAATACTTACATAGCATTTAGCATAAACTTCCCCCAAAAACTTGCTCCATAGATGTTTGTACTTTGTGTTTTCAGTGATGCAACCAGGGTTTTGGCAGATATATTAAGGTATCGAAAGTCATAAATTCAGGGACTGGCATAGTCTGGATCAATTCCAGATCAATTTGACTACAAAGGGCGAGTTCTTCACCACTTCTGAAGGGCATGCTCTCATTAGACCAGCATGCACTTTTTTAGGTTGAAATTTGAAAAACTCTAAAATTCAGATACCAAGCTTATCTCCTTTAACTTTATACCCCAATAAGGACCATGTGATGGTATCAGTGTTCAGATGAGAAGGATAAAATTCTCCTAGAAGTTTCCGTTGAGGATCCGGCATGATAAACACGTGCTTTCTTTTACAAAGATTGTTGTTCTGACTCTTCCATTAGAAAATGTGTATGTATCTTCTTTGCTCTAGTGCATGGCTGACAATGAAAACTTGCTTTGCCTTCTTAAACTAGAGTTTACTTTTGAAAAGTTAAATGTAGAGATTAAAAAAATAAGAAACAATTTTAAAACTCTAGAACTATTTTCTATTTTAGTAAGTAGTGGAGAACAATGTTTCACAAAATAATTTAACCATATAACTCTTTAAAATTAAGGGTTTTCTTTCACATGTTCCTGTACATGATACATCCCTAGGGTTATGTTTACTTCCCAGTGTACCAACTGATATTCTACCCCTTTTCCTTCAACTCCATAAAGCATATTGAAACCAAAGGGTGGGTGGCATTATTAGATGGGTAATGTCTCAAATTTAAGTTAGTAATTTGTTAAATGCATTCTGTTTACCATTAATAAATCACTTTGATGCAAATCATACACAACCAGCCACAATGGAAGTAATGCTCTATTTCAACAATCAATAGCATCTTCCTGTGTTGTCATCTTCACAACTTAAATTTACATTCCATGTTTTCTGGAATTCAGACTGTATTTTTACATAATAACAACTTTCTATTAGGTAAATAAGGTTCTTTCTATTAGGTAAATTAATAAAATCTTAAAAAGTAATACAGTACTGTACTGACTGACACTAATTTGTCATGAAGAGAAAGATCCTTATGTCAATTTAGACAAAGATTGAGGATTTGCATACAACAAATTTGGAATGACTCATATCAGAATTGACAAGACCACTTAGCACAGTAGTAAATGAGGGAGGAAATATCTATAAAATATTCAAAGTATTTTAACAGTAGGTTTACATGCATCATTTCCTTTAACAATTTCTAATTGGATGTGGCAGTTTTTTTGTGGTTAGTATTTTCAGTGTTGTTATTTTACAGTTAAGGGAATTGATACCCCAAGTGTCTAAGTACTTTGGTAGAGATCACAAAGTGAATCCTCATTTCAGAGTAATGTCTAAGAAAATAAAAAGGGAAAATAAACTCAGAAAGATTGTCACCTTTGCGCATGAAAGGGGATATGCTGTGATCCATCACTGTATTTGGAATATGTTTATAATTCACCAGAGGGTTATCCTTCATCATTCCAAATGAGGTGTGATGGACGATCTCATCCAGGATCTCATCATTTAAGCTTTTCTCTAGAAATGCAGCAATCTTCTTGATTTCTTGCTTTGGATTCTAGTAGTGGGTAAAGAGACATCCAAGAAAATGATAAAGATAATGTAAAAAGAATATAATATTTATAATCTGCTTTCTTAAATGTTTATCTGAATACAAAATCCATATTTGGTTTGGTCTCAAATTTTTTAAAAAAATATTATTAAAAATGAAAACATAATTTATGTTTAAGAAAAATAGAGCAGAGATATTTTGTTTGTTATAAATGTTATGTTTTAGTTTACATTTAAGGTACAATATGAACAAACTTTGGGCTAAATACAAGCCATACTTAGAGAAAAAAGCCAAAGTGCTATTTTAAACTCATTTGCCATCAGATTTGAACTGTGCATGACTTAGCAAACCAATTTGTTTTTTGCATTTCACTTCTTTTTCTGCTTTTTATCAAATATGTTTTCTAGTTTTTAGCAACAATATTTAAAAGCAAAACTAATAAGTTCATGGACAACTTCAAGTATATTTCCTTAAAGTATAAATACTGATTAAATCTTGCTTAGACACCAGTTATTGAAAATAAACTCCAATAAATGTGCAAAGATATTGAGACCTAAAGTATTTATCAACCACTGAGGATAAAAAGAGCCAAATTTGAGAAATGGATCATTTTCCAGATTTTAATGACATAAACAATATTTGTAACTTTTTAGGAAGCCAAACTAAAATCTGCAAGAATAAATTCGAAAGATTTTGGAAAGCTGATAACTAAGCTGAGTTAAAAAAAAGATGAGTCAGAATTTACCAAGATGTGTGGTCTTTTGTGTCACCAAACAGTGAATATCCAATAATGAAAACAGTTAAAAGTCTTAGAGGTATTAGTGTCTCATAATGTGTTCCAGGGAGAAAAAAGCATAATGGTTAGAGTCAGATCTGATGTGATCACAGGAGTAAGGTAGGTATAAAACTAGAAAGATAAATTGGGTTTTAACTGAGAACATCCTTGGATGTCCTGTGGAAGGATTTGTATCTGTAATAACGAAGTGAAGCAACAGTTTTGAATAATGTCTCTTATTATCTCTGTGCATGTGTGTGTGTGTGTGTGTGCATGTACACATGTGACTGTTTTGGCAGGGAGTTCCCTAGAAGGGAAGTTATGGTGATATTTTATGTGTGAGGCCTCAATGAGAGAAGAATGAGATGTCTAATTAAGGGGTGGCAATACTTAGAATGAGTGCGATGTCAAAAATCATGATAGTGGCAAAAAAAACAAAAGAGAAGTTAGTAACACTAGGAAAACACAGATGGGTGGGTAAATAGCAATTTCTGTTAGCAATTCAAAGTGTTTGGAGAATAATTTAGCCACAGCCAAAGCATGACTGCTGATGTCAGTTTATAAACCAGTAACAGTTCAAGTTGAGAGTGTTGGCTCCTATTGAATCTTCCTCTGCTGCCTTGATCTTTCACCTCATTGACTGAGAATTTATACAGACACTTATCAACCTGATGTAAATTGTTGGACTTCTCTATGAATTTTTTCTTGATATATTATTATACTTTTGCTCTATTGTTGTTCTACTAAGCATCTTTACATAACATTGTTTAAGAATGTCTGTATTGGAGTAGAAAAACACTGGCTTTTAATTATGACCCATAGAGGAAATCTGAGTGGGGCTCAAAGTATTTGGGTATGCTTATAAAGCTGATCAGGACAGACTGTAAATTAATACAAATGAGTTGATTTGAATAAAGCAGTTTAGCTACAGAATGAGAAAAGGTTGACATGAGAACATCATGTGGGAGACAGCATGTGAGTCAAAGGTTGGGTACCAGCCCAGCCCAGGAAATGTATTTCTCCATTCTGTGGAGAAAAGAGACTACATTAAGAAGCTAAAATTGCTCCTTTCATAAGCCTCTTAAGTACTATTCACATGTCCAGAAAGAAAGAGAGATACTTGGTACAGAAGAACAATGATTTCTCTTATAAAGTGCTCAAAATTTAATCTGATTAATAAAAACCACTTTAGTGTTGCAGCTCTGTATGCCAGCAAATTGGCATTAATTGCAGTGGTCAGATTCAAGCACTGGTAAAATTTACACCATAGGTTCTCAATGGGCTACAAACAAATGTGATAGAGGGTGGGAGCACATGCAGAGCAGGAAAACAGACAACTCTTTAATAAGATGAGATATATAATCTGTAGGTGTCTTGGAAATACTTGGGAACAAAGGATACTTTACCTATGACATGATTTCTGGTATGCAAAGTAGAATTGTCACTACATCTTTTGTTATTACTCATTTTTTCACTCATTCAAGGAATCAGTTATTCATACAACAAATGACCATTGAGTCTTTATTTATGGGGTAGGTGCTGTATTAGGAACTGCAGATGCAGTCACAAGAATGGTACATATGGTACCTTCCATCATGAATCTGAAAGTCTAAAAAGAATTCTCATTGTATACTCAGGTTTTTAGAACTAATGTAACTTGGACTAAACATATTTGCCATGTGTGCATGCATGTTTGCCTAATTTGAGTAAAATAGCTCCAGAATAGTCCTGGAACTTTGCAGTGAGATTTGAAGAAATTCTAGTTCATACAGGAGGATAGATGAATGCTTATGAGTCCCTGTCTAGGAGGAAGTAGTAATAAAATAAAGAATGGGGCACAGTTGAAGGATATAGGGCATGTTAGATATAGATGTATATATTAGATAGGGCATGTGAACCAATGGGATGTTCAAGACACAGTTGAACTATATCCACTATATGGAAGACAATGAGGACAACTTACTCTAAAGCTTTGAAACCTGAATGTACATATAACATCATTAACCAAAAGAGAGAATAAACCAAGAAGAGAATGACATGTTGAAGAGAAAGAAGCAAGATGAGATTAGTTTTGAACACATTAAATTTGAGAGTCTTTTTAATAAAAGCACAGGTTTGAATTCAGGGTAGAAGTGAAAAAAAGCATTTTGAAGGGCCATTAGCACATACATAGTTTTGGCAACAGTGGGCCTGGAATGAGCACCAAAATACACCAAGCAGCTGAAAAAGAAAAACAGCTAAGTGATACAGAGAGATCCACTGGAAAACCACCAGTCTGATAACCTGTTAAATGAAGAAGAAAATTTGAGGAAAAAAGCTGCTCAAAGTAAACACAATGGTTAAAAAAATATGAGGGACAAAAATGTCATAGCTTTCACAATTAGAACATTATTAATGACCTTAACGAGATCTGGGTAAGCAGGCATGAAGAATAGGGAAAGCAATCATATCATTTTGGACTTCACAGGTTAACTTGAAAATGTTATATTCATCCTTTTACCCCAGGATGTAGTGAGACATTATCTATAATGAATTTCTATCATTTTACCTCTTTCATATCTTCGTAGTGTAAGAAAAGTATTGGGTGTTCTTCTTTTTTCTTCCACCAGCTCTTAACGTGATTAAACCAGGAACCATAGGCCACTAAAAGCACAGAAAGAGTCTCTGTCCATAAGCATTCACAAAGTCAAAGATTCATTTCTGAAGAATAAGTTAGATTATACAAACATTTTGTGGAATTTAATAGCCAAGGGAATGGAGAATATAAAGCCAATTTAAAAAAATATGTAGTCAACCACATATTAATTTATAAGCAATCAGGTTAAAAATATATAAAGTACAAGGAAGTATTTCAGTTGAAAAGGCATTGACCTCCAACAAGTTATACTTAGCCTCAAATGGAAGGAAACTATTATTTTATGAAGTACTCATATTAACTGTTTATCTATACTATAAATATATATATATAAGTGATTTAAGTAATTGCTTAGGGAAGGTAAACAATTTCTATTGTGAGCAGAAACATCGACTAGGTTTCTAACACCTGAAAAGAGATTAGACAATATTTTCATTAAGCCAATATTTAATATCAGGTTATATATTGAGAGTCATGGTACAATATTAGATATATTCAATTTAATTTTTAAACAGTATTTGAATGTACTTGTTTCTGATTTGGCAAAAGTGTTTAGAAAACAAAAAGTCATACCAGTAATAGTAGAATTATTTAAAATTGAAAAAATTGACTTATTAATTTTAGGCCAAGAACTACCTACCATTTCCAACCATGAAATTCTCCAGATACTTTTCCCAGGTAACAGGAGGAGGGTGCAAATTATTCATTAAGTCAAAATGGTAATATGAAACTGCAACATCCTTGGCATTTCGAGCCATATAAATCATCTGCAGGAGGAGGAATAAGAGATCAAATGAGTGCTATTTTATTTAGGAAAATAAAAATTAACATACAGGCAAGAAAGGAACATATTTGAAATCCATGAAATTAAAAACAGAGGAAATGTTAGAGAAAATTAAACAAAAAAAGAGTTGGCTCTTCTAAAGAATTAACAAAATAAGCCGGGCAGTAAAAGACAAATACAGTATGATCTCACCTTTAACAGGAACCTAACCAACAAAACAAATAAACAAGCAAAACAACCAGAGACACTGAAATTGAGAACAGGCTGACAGTGACCAGAGGGGAGAGGGGAGGGAATTTCAGAGGTAAAGGGTGAAGGGTTTATAGGAACAAGTATAAAGGACACATGGAAAATAATAGGGAAGGGATGGAAACAGGAGGGAGATGGGAGGGCTGCGGTGGGTGTGGGGGGGTCAAAGGCAGAAAACTGTACTTGAACAAAAATAAAAATTTTTAAAAATAATCAGTGATCTTATCTGAGAAGCACCTTATCTGTCCTCAAGGAGTTCATCATCACCAAGCCCTTATTATATGAAATGTTAAAGGGACTTATCTAAGAAAAAGAAGTTAAAGAAACATGAACAGTGAAAGGACAACAAACTCACAGTTATTAACAACCACACCTAAAACGAAAGCAAACTAAAAGGACAGCTAGATCAGGAGTGGAACCATAGAAATGAAGATCACATGGATTGTTAGCAAGAGGGGAGTGGGAGGAGGAGGTGGGGGGGAAGGTACAGAAAATAAGTAGGATAGACAGTAGATAGAAAATAGAAGGGGGGGGGGCAAGAATAGCATGGGAAATATAGAATCTAAAGGACTTGAGACACATGGTCATAAACTAAAGGGGGGGTAATGGTGGGGATGGGGGGTAGGGTGGAGGGGAATGAAAGGGGGAATAGAACAACTGTAACAGCATAATCAATAAAAAATTTAAAAAATAATCAGTGAAATGGATAAATAGCTAGCAAGACTACATAGAGAAGATAAAAAGAAGAGTATAAAAAAATTCCCATATCATATGCTATCAGGAAAATTCAAATTAAAACATTGAGACACCACTTCACAATAATTATTAGATGACCACAAAGTCCAGGACACTGACAACATCAGACCCTGCTGTGGATGCGGGGCATTAAGAATCATCTCACTCATGGCTTGTAGGAATGCAAAATGGCACTGCTATTCTGGAAGACACTTTGGCAGGGTTTTTTTGTTTTTGTAAAACTAAACATATCCATACCATGTAACTTAGCAATTGCACTACTTGGTATTTACCCAAAAAATCTGAAAAATAAGGTCCAGTTAAAACCTTCCATATGGTTGTTTGTAGCAGCTTTATTCAGGATTGCCAAAACTTAGAAGCAACCAAGATGTCCTTTGGTAAGTGAGTGAACAAATAAGCTGTGGTACTTCCAGACAGTAGAATGTTATTCAGCACTTAAAAGAAATGAGCTATCAAGCCATGAAAAGACATGAGAATCTTCAATGCATAATACTAAGTCAAAGACCACCAACTGTAATGTCTACAAACTGTGATTCCAAGTATATGATATTCTGGAAAAGGCAAAACTATGGAGACAGATCAGTGGTTTCCAGGGGTGGGGGTGGGGGTGAATAGGTGGAGCACGGAGGATTTTTCAAGCAGTGAAACTACACTGTATGATACTTAAATGTATGATTACACATATATAAAAACCTGTAGAATGGACAATACCAAGAATGAGCCCTAGTGTAAATGATGGACTTTGGGTGATATCAATGTGTTAATGTAGGTTCATCAATTGTAACAAATGTGCACTCTGGTGGGAGATACTGATAATGGAGAATCTAAGTGTGTGTGGGAGCAAGAGACATATGCACAGTCGCTTTGACTTTCACTCAGTTTTGCTGTAACCCTAAAATCAGCCTATAAATAAACTGTTGTAGAAAAAACTAAAATCTGTTAAAAGAAAAAATAAGAAGTGACTACATGAAAGACTTTTCACTACAAAATTCAACCACATAGAAGTCCTCTCACATCACAAACTAGTAAAATCAGCTAAGGTGAAATGGATAATCTGAATACCAACAACCTTGTGTTGAGTTTTCAGAGAAGACCAGAACATTTAGGGACAGCTGGGGAATAACAGTAGCAGTGGTGTGCTGAGATGAGAATTCTTTTGCTGCATAACTTTGGAAAACTTCAGTATGTAGGTTTAGACTAGAACAATGGAAACACTTTCACTGAAACATGAGAGCAATTATTTCTTATGTGAGTGAGTCATAGGGAATAGGGTCATTAAAAAATTGGCTGCAGATCTGGAGTGTACCTTGCAGTTGTTCTCCCAGAAAGACTTAGGAAGGAGATCAATCGGTAGATGCGTCTTCACAAGACGAGGGGATGGATTCTTCTCCAATTGTTCTATACCTGAGAAAATATAGTTTGTTATATAGAAGTATTAGTCTCCAACAGGCTTGCATTTCCTGATTTTCTCAAGCAACCTTTCAAAATGTTTTTCAGCAGTATATGATGCTGCTAAGTTTTGAACTAATCATAGGCATTATCTATCTCAACTCTAAGAGCTAATATTGCATGACGGTTAAGGGCATAGGTTCTGAAATCAGCCCCCTTGGATTCAAATTCCAACTCAATCACTCACTCACTGTGAGACATTTGAAAATATCCCAGTCTCTATGCTTCACTTTCTTCACTTCCAAAATGAGGAGTAATAATACCCACCTTAGCACTTTGGAGTTTCATCATACCTGTGCATACTATAAATAATTATAAAAATGTTTTGTCTATGTCAGAAAGATACTAATACCTAGTAATTTTCACATCACACTGCTTTGCATCAGCTATTATAGTATTGATGATGTCATTTTGTGTAGCATCAGCTGCTGTATCTGCATTTTTATTATTTCCTGTATTTGTTATATGCATATGCAAAGCAAAAATGTTGTGTAACTTTTAGGTGTTAGCTGAACTCTCCAAAGTCATATAATTAATGTGTTCTAGAATTTGATTTCACATTAAGTGTTTGGAGAAAGCATATATATGAACTTCCCCGAGACACAGAACATTCATTCATTTTCTGTGTTCAGAGTCAGGAGGATCACACTACACAAATCACTTGGCTAGTCTGCAGGCACTTGTGGAGTAAAGGCATATTCAGAGAATTTCTGACATAGAGTAGGTAAAACTTGGCTTACCTTTTTCACTTACTGTTCTTATAATGGACTCAAGGCTTTTATCCCAGGTATATCTGTTAAATATGTCATCTCTTACTGAGTCACAAAGATCTCTTTTATTGTCTACTCTTTCAGGTTTCATATCCAATGAATCCTAAGGTTCTATGCATATTTTTCACAATATTATTTATCCTGTGTAACCTCTAGATTACCTGTTAATTCTGCATTATTTTTATACCGTTTGCATATGACAACATACTTGCTCAAAATTTCATCTGACTCACTAATTTAAAGCAATCCTATGCTTCGATTCTTAACAAAATTGTATTTCACATGCTAAAAAGCCAGTCAGTGTCTATTAAAACATCCTTTTAAATGGCTGTATATAGCACTTATTGTTGGTTCATAGTTCATTTACTTTGTTTGTTGTCAGTTCCCATGTGTCTTCCTTGTCCCCACCCCCAAACACACACACTAGAATGAACATTTCATAAAAGCAGGGATAGAGCCTGTTTTCTTCACCAACAAAAGCTCCATACAGAATAGGGCATAGCATCCACTTGTATCAAGATCTCCTTAATATCAATGCAGACAGTTCAGCAAATTTGGGAAATAAAGATGCAAAAATTCCAGTTAAATCTGTATTTCAGATTAATCAGAGATACCTTTGAGTATAAGTGTATTCCATAAAATATTGGGATATACTTTTAGTAAATAAAATAGCTTTCTGAATTTAAAAACTAATTGGGCATCTTGAATTTTATTGGGAAAATCAATTATACAGCTATAAAATTCCACAAGGTATTTTATTATGCTTCTACTGACCTAGTAATAACACCCTCTTTATTCAGCATATAGAAATGAGAGATCTTAACCTTCCATATCTCACTATTCCTCAATGCCATGATGGGAAATCTTATGTCTGTTTCTTTTATGAAGTTTTCCTCACATTGTTATTCCTCTTCCCTCCCTAAACCTCAGTGAAAAATTTCTCAGCCCCTTCTGTTTTGTGATTGTTTTGCCTTAGAGATCCTTCAAATGAACCCTTTAACTGCACAAATGTAAATATCAGGAATATGAAATGACACCACATGTATTCACATTCAGGCTCCAGAGTAAACCTGAGTGCCAGTTTATCCTCCTTTACCTGGTGAACCTCATCAATTCACTCTCTGGCAATGCTGCCCAGCCTCACTGACCACCTCCCACCCAGGTCTCCCACCAATAATCTCTACTCCTCTCTCCCTGACTCATTTGATACTATCACTTTTAATTACTTTATTGTTTGATTACACTTGTCTGCATTTTTCTCCACCACTCCCTCCCACCCCAGCCAATCCCACCTCCCTCCCTTGCTTCCATCCCGCCCCTACGTTTTGTCCATGTGTCCTTTGTAGTAGTTCCTGAAAACCCTTCTCCCTGCTCTCCCTTCCTCCTTCCCTCTGGCTATTGTTAAATTGTTTTTAATTTCAATGACTCTGGTTATATTTTGTTTACTTTTTCTTTTGTTGATTATATTCCAGGTAAAGGTGAGATCATATGGTATTTGTCCCTCACCTCCTAGGTTATTTCACTTAACATATATCACTTCTTTATACTTTTCTGTGACTTTGGTGTCTTAACTCACTTTTCACGCATCTTGGTTGCTTGTCCCAGAATAATCCTTTAATTCCAAAATTTAGCATTGGCTCTCTGACTTCAAGCAACCACACAGAATGATATCCAGTTGGTCCTTCTCTTCCTATGTAAAGTCCTAAATTAGGAGCTTATTGTTCTAATCTACCAAATTCTACACAACGAAAAGTCAATGAAAGATAAGAAGCACTTTTTATGTCATCAACCAAATTTTTAATTGCTTTATACAACAAAACTCATTCATTTTTTGTTATCATAATACTTGAATACTCAAATATGGACTAAATCTGTAGTTTCTTTATGTGCTCTGGTATTGTACTGTTTTCAGACTTTCATTTTATGTCACTAAATTTACTTCATTTTCTTTGAGGGGAAGTCATAAATACAAAATTAACAATGCTATATAAATAGTATTACAAAACTATAGTTCTCAAATGGCTTAAAATTACCTGAAATCACTCCAGGAACAGCCATTTCCAACATGGGAACTTTAGCAGTTATAAAATCTCGCTTAGATTTTTCAACATCTCCATCATTTAAAACCATGTCCACAATTTCACTTACCCAGGTGGTACCTGTGTCAAAAAGCAACAGTTTTTATAAACATCACCTGAATCAGAGTGGGAAAGTACCTTTTGGAGGCCTGCCATTCTAATACATTCTGTCAGAAATTTAATTCTGCAATTTCCTTTTCTATACCCCAAGTGCCCATTTAATACCTTTCAAATACATGGCTGTACTGACTGATAGGATTCATTTGATTGAGGATGATAATGGTTTTATAGAGAAGTTGATTTTCAGGCAACAATGGCTGAAGCCAGACCTGCATTGGACAGGCCACAAAACTCACCTGATTTGGGGTAAGTGACTATCACAATGTCATCGGGCCTGCTGCAGAACTGTTCGACCTCTTCCCAGTTGTTCGCAAAAGCATAGACCATAGGACAGCCATGGACCATCTTCAAACTTTTTCTCAGGACATCTTTTGGGGAGGCCATTTTTGTACAAGATTGTACAAATTCTTAACAAAATAGTTACTGACAATCAAATCCTGGAAGAAGTAAAGAGGACAAAGATAAGAAGCTGAGTAACCAAAGTAATCCTTAAGATACAAATACGGCAATCTAACACAAAGTTAAACTGGCCTCTATCACACTGAGCACACGGAGATCTAAATACAAAGGGCGTTTTTGTGGGTATAAAGCTGTAGACTGCAAGAGCAGTCACTGGCTCAGTGACAAGAGGAACAAAGGTCTTTGGTGAAGGATTTGGAAAGAAATGAAACTACCTTACTTTGAATTTTAAAAATCACATTACATAAAAATGTATTAAAAAGTATCTGGACCTCATGCAAAAACTATCTGGACTACCACCCATAATCACACTTTAGTTTGCCTCATTTTTCTTATACAAATATGTTATGTTTCTTACCATCTTTTTCTGTACATAATGCCTTTGTTTTCTCTGCCTGCTTGTAAGATTATTTTTTATCACTAGTTTTGAACAATTGGATTATGATGCAGCTTGGTGTGGTGATTTCATGGGTGTATATGTGTGTCCATGTGCACTTCAGATTTATCGAGCTATTTAGAAATGTGGGTTTCACAGTCATTATTTCTTCAAATATTTTTTTCTGTCTCTCCCTCTTCCTTCTGAAACTCCAGCCCCACGAAGTTGTTCACAGCACACTGATGTCCCATTCATTTTTAAAATCTTTTTCTCTCCTTCTGTTTCAATTGCTATGCATTTATGTTCACTAACCTTTTCTTCTAGAATGTGTAATCTGATGTTACTCCCATCCTATGCATTTTTTTTCAGACATCGTGGTTTTTATCTCCAAAGATCATTTTGGGTTTGGTTATATGTTTCCTGTCTCAACTTTTCAAACATACTGAATACACTTACAGTGACTGCATGCAGAGTCTGTTGAAAGACACCAAACACATTAGTGGCAGAGCAGAAACAGACTTCAGTCTTTCCAGCTCCACTCACGTGGTTTTACTTAAAATCTACCATTGGTGGGCTCTCCCCAGAGTCAACAAGTGTTCATGATTTATCTTATTCAAATAAGGGGTTCACAGTTTATAAGAAAATCTTTCTTTGAAAAAGCAAACTTCCCCCTGACAAAAAGCACAAGCTTTCCATGCTACAAAAATGTCAGAGAAGAATGCTATGAGTAACAAGATGAAACTAAGGCAGCTGATCTGAATAGTCACCTCTGGGACGTGGGTGTGAGCAGTTCAGAAACCTCAGAGGATTAGTCCTGAATTAACATTGCCTATTTGTGACCAGTAGATGATGGTGAGTTCATACTTATATGCTGTGATGGGCCCAGGCAGTAGGGCTGGAAAACATGAGATAACTAATCTCACTGAACCAGATGCATTGGAAGATGGTTCAAGACTGTTGTTCACTTTTGAATATAAAGTTAGTTCATAAATCTAGTCAACCCTACTAGAAAGTAACAATTTTATGTGGCTATATATCATAGTCTATATGATCTAACAAGTCTTCCTATTTAAGTTAAGCCATGGGCTGAAAATTAAATTGTCTACACTTTGGTTTTTAAAAAATGAAAAAGAAAAAAAGAAAAAGAAAGCACCCCTTAGAAGATAGAGTCATCTGACTTCAAAGCTGAATGGTTCTTTTTAATGAGAAAAGAATATCTCTTCCATGTGTCTCACCTAGTACAAAGTCCTGCTTTATTTGGTCCACATCAAACCCCAGGAACTGAAAGAAATAAAATAAACAACATATTTAATATACCAGAAAGTGCGTGTGCACGCACACTTGTTTGTAGGGAGGGGTGGAGGAAAAATGAGAGAAGTGAGGATTTGAAGTGGATTCTTTTCCTTTCATGAGGCTCAAGTTTCATGAGAAGATCATCCAGGCACACTTCAGGACAGTCCAACCGAACCCAGAAAAATAACAGTGATCGTTAAAACCTGAGAAATGCTGCACAATGTAACAATAACTGCACTTCCTCTGAGGAAAAATGAAATATGGCAAAAGCATTCAAATTACAAGCACGTTCTAAATCAAAATCATTTAAAGAGCACAGTCCTCTGTGGGTACAAGGTAAAAACTTCAAGGACAGAGATTTAACATGCAAACTTTAACTCACAGTTTAATACCCCCTTTTGATTTTCTCTGTCAGCAGTGGTGCTGCTGTTGAAAGGAATCCTGGGAGCTGGTAGTAGTCCAGGAAGGGTAGGGCTAGGAAGTCCTGGAAGGGGAAAATAAGTTACAGGATATGATTTGAATGTAGTGGTCAGAGACTTTATAGGCAGTAAAGATATGAAACATATGAACTACACACACATTTGCACAATGGCAAAGCATGCTATTTCAACAGCTGGCAGAGCCAGGAAGCCCTGGAAAGGAAATGGATCAGGGTGGTGGCCAGAAGTCAGCCAAGTCAGAGATTGCCTAGATTTGAATGTTCCCACGAGGCTTCAAAGGGTCTGGAAGGAGTGTACAGAGGGAAAAAAATGGAAGGTTCAGCTGATGAAAGACTGTTGCTTTTCTACAATATATAAGCATATTCCCTAATCATTCTGGCCATGATGAATAGTTGTTTTGTTTCTGTGTATGTGTGTGTGTGTGTGTGTGTGTGTGCAAAAAAAATGAGCCCCCAATGTCATGGAAAGAGCAAACATGTGCTAGTGATATAATAACAATTTTGGCAGGAGAAACAGAGAGAGTAGAACTAATGGTTTGAGAAAGTATTTGCTTTCTTTTAGTCTAATCATTTCGTAAACCTCTTAGGTTATTTGGGGTTTTTTTGCAGTTTAATTTTTATCTTTTCTTTTTTGCTTGTTTTTAGAGAAAGGAAAAGGGAGAAAGAAATAGAAGGAAAGAAACATCAATGTGTGGTTGCCTCTCATGAGCCCCCTACCAGGGACCTTGCCTGCAACCCAGACACCTGCCATGACTGGGAGTCAAGCCAGTGACCTTTTAGTTCACAGGCCCATGCTCAACCCACTGAGCTACACCAGCCAGGGCTTAGTTTGATTTTTTGTATTCTGAGTCACAGATGTATAGAGAAGAAATGAACAAGGAGTGTGAATGTGGAGGGCAAGAAATATACTCCTGACCTCCACCCTCCTACCTCAACCACCTCATGAAATCACAACTACAAGCCCCAACCCCTTGTTCAAGTATTTATATTAGTGTAGGCTTGGGGAAGTCAAAAAGCCCAGAAAGAAACCAGCATACTCTTTTACATGTTTTACTTTATTTACAGATTTTAAAATAAATTTTAAAGACATATTTGTATTTAAAGACCTTGCCTTTATCAACAAATTTTCATTTAATTTTGCCATCAAGTGTCTATTTTCTCATTTGTATGGAGGGTAAAAGTATGTGTGAGAGAACACACAAAGAAAAGGTGTTTATGGGAGTCCAGTTTAGTTGCACTTTGTTGCAGTTATGGAAACTAAAATCCTCAGTGCATCTGGTATATGAATCTGGTGATCACTAAGATCCATCATATATTAACATCAATCTGGCTCTCCTTGAGGATTTTGAACATGATCTTTCTAGATATTCCCTAAGCTAGTTCATTTTGGTGTGCTCTTTGGACCCTGTAGACCAAGGTATTTGTTTTTAGTTTTGATGACACATAAAGACATCAACTCCCTCAAATCACACCCCCTTCCTGATAACCATGCAATCAGATGACATGGTCCAAAGTCACAGTGTCAATACACTTCTACCATCACCAAAAAACAAAGTTCAGGAAATTGTATTTTCAATTGGATACACAGATCTCCTGTTAAATATCAAGTTTTTCAGTGTGAAAAAGCTAACTGTAATAGGCAAGATAATAATGGACATCTAGACAAGCTGAAGAGTTTGGAGACCTTGTGCAGTTCCACCTGAGATTCTCTTAAATAAACTTATCAGTAAAACTGACTATTGCACTGTCTCAGCCGCAATGAGAGAAGCTATGCAGAACATCAGCAGGCACCCTGAAATCAGTGGGAGAAGCCAGAGGGTGGACTCTAGAACCAGCATAGGCCTGCTTGTTCTAGGGAAGCTGTTAACCCCAAACTCAAGTTTAACCTCCATGCCTCTCCTGCCAAAAAAAAAAAAAAAGAAGAAAGAAAGAAGGAAAAAAAGAAAGAGAAAGAGAAAAATGAAAGAGAGAAAAGGAAGAGGAAAAGAGAAAATACAGAAAATTCTAACAAAAATATTTAAGACACACTTAGATGAACTCACATTAAAATCGTCTTTTAACATGAATACATGCATCATGAAATAATAAGAAAAAAATTGTGAAATCTCATGCTGTAGCTTTAAGTCATGCTTTTAGCCATGCAAAGATAAAGGTGTGTCAATGAGGTCAATTAGTTGTGTTAAGTGTATGAAAAATAAGGAAGCACTAATAATGGAATTTTCCATATAATAACTAGGCTTCTGTAAATCTTGTTTGCTTATTTGTTCTCATAGAAGTGTACACACTGATAAATGTGTGTGTACATATGCACTATCATAATGAAAAGATTCTGCACAGAAACCACATTTTAATGGGGGAACTTTCATCAAAGCAGGACACACACCACACTCATCACCATTGCATGGCTTGCTTCTAAATGTTGGTCTTTTCAGGGTGTTTACCAGATGTGTTTAAAAATAAAAATGTTGTAAAAAGGATTCCATTTTTTTCAACAGTATGAATGGCCTTTATTGGTTGCAACAGGAAGTAGAACAGAGGGAGGGATATGGCGGCTTCCCCTTCCTGTGTAGATTGTAGCAACTCTCCAAAGCTAAGTTCTGTTTCTTAAATAAAGAAAACATTGAACACTTACTGTACTACACCGATGTTAATTTGGTAAGATTTCTTTATTTGGGTTGAATTGTCAGGATTTTTTTCCATGAAGAAAAATAATGTTACAACAAAGAACAAATCTCTGAAACAAATTAGTCTTTAAAGTTTGTATTTAGTGACCTTTTATTTTTTTAAGAATAAAATGACAAGCAACTTTTTACAATGCAAGCCTAATTTTTTTCCATGGAAAAATTGCTGCAAAAGAAATTAGTGGTTTGGAAGAAAACTGGTTGTGCATCTGTGAGAACTTGAAGATTAAATCGAAAGTGTCATATAAAATTTTTAAAAATGTTATCATCAACAATATTCCCTCACTAAAACATTCTTATGATATATATCTAAAAAATTAAACCTGACTGATGGATGAATTTTTAGTAACATTACCAGTTTGTGTGTAGGTCTCCATCTGGTAGCTATGTACCATATCTGGCAATATATGTGTTTTACACCTTATGATCAACAAACATAAGTACAACTATGTTGTACACCTGAAACTAATACAAAATAATATTGAGTATGAACCATAATTTAAAAAATGAAATAAACCAGGTGGTAAAAGACAAATACCATATGATTTCACCTTAAGTGGAACCTAATCAGCACAAGAAATGAGCAAGCAAAATATAGCCAGAGACATTGAAATTAAGAACAAATGGACAGTAACCAGAGAGGAGGTGAGAAGAAATAATGGAGTGAAACGGGTGAAGGTTTTCAGGAACAACTATAAAGGAGACATGGACAAAACCAAGGGGTGTGGAATCGAGGTAGGGAAATGGGGATGGGTGGAGTGGGAGGAAGTGGTGGGGGAAAAGGCAGACAACTGTACTTGAACAACAACAACAACAAAAGAGAAAAAACGTTTAAACTTTTCTTATGAGAATAGGTAATTTAGGCCCTCCTCTTAAACTTTTCCTTTTTCTCCTCCCTCTACCTTGAGTCTCATTTACTTTCATCTCTTACTAGAGGATCCTCAATATGAACTTTGAAAAGGGTTAATGTGAGCCCAAAGTTCCAAAAGTAAACACATATGACCAGGTGACTTAT